CGGTTCGGAGGAAGGACCGTCCTCTCTCTCTCTCTCTCTCTCCTTGGCGGAACGACGCGGCGATCGTCGAGGAGGGGAGGAGGCCCTTTCCGCGAATTCGAACAGCCCCACTTCTCCCCTACGACGGGTCGGTTACACTTTCGCTACTGCGACTAGTGGTACCACTCGACCGCCTTCCTCCTCCCCCTTTCTCCTTCTTCGTGAGCATCGGTAACCAGATCGACCTAATTGTTCCAAGTTTATTCGAAAAGTATGCGAATCGTGAGATCGGTGACGATTTTACGTGTACGTGTTTTTATTATATATATATATATATATATGTATATACGAGGACCATAGCGCCATCTCGGTTCTTCGACGATGGAAACGGAATTAAAGTTTTGGGGAATATTGATATGCGATGGCAAAGTACGATATACGAAGGGGATCAATTTTTTCCTTTTATTTTATTAATTAATTTCACGTATGTATAGAGGAGTATAGCGCCATCTCGGTTCTCCGACGATGGAAATGGAATTAAAGTTTTGGGGAATATTGATATGCGATGGCAAAGTACGATATACGAAGGGGATCGATTTTTATTTTATTAATTAATTTCATAATTTATGTATAGAGGAGTTATATAGAGGAGTATAACGCCATCTCGGTTCTTGGACGATGGAAATGGAATTAAAGTTTTGGGGAATATTGACAAATGATTCGTTGTGCACGTATATACGAGGACTATAGCGCCATCTCGGTTCTTGGACGATGGAAATGGGATTAAAGTTTTGGGGAATATTGATAAATGATTCGGTACACGGTATCCGGGATGGCGTGAGAGTGCAATAGGAAGGGGATAAATTTTTTTGTTTTTTTTTTTTTTATTAATTAACGTGCGCAAAGAGGTGTGCAGGATAGCAAAAAGAATTGACGGTTTGCTGGTGACAAAAGTCAGAAAAACAACGGTGCAAGATCTCGTTTATTACCAGCAATAAAATTCTGCGATATATCAGAATAATCCTAACGGTTCGAGATTCGACGAACAAAGTTTAACGAAGGATTTAAGGATTTTGACCATGACCTTGAACACTCACGAGCAACACTCATAAATTACATCACGTTCCGTTGGTGAATCCAACGGTTGTCCGTTGTCAAAATATTTATCCGTGTTTCCGGCTACGTTTGCTTGTTGTTTTTCTTCTTTTTATATATGCATATATTCAATGCATCGATATGGAAATAAATACTAGATATTAAATATATCACTTCGCATAATTGTATATAAATTTATATATATATATATATAACGGATATATATAACGGATTATTATTCCTATTCAACAGATGATAAATCGGATGTTAAATTATTATTACTTAATCGATAGGATAACTTTCTTAATGAAATATTAAGAAAGTATTTAAAATACGAACAATTTTTATTATCCGGCTTTTATCCGGATTCCCTTTTGTTCTAAAGTTTAAATTCCTTATAAATTCGAGATTAAATCCGACCGAAACGCTCATTCGATACCTGCCCCTTGTGCCTTTCATTCGTGAAATGATAAATTGCATACATTGTTCATGAACATTCGGGCAACAAAGAGTGAGCGGATGACACGTGGCTGAAAGCACGAGCAGGAACGTGGCCCGGGAAACACGTGTGTCGCAGCCGGCCCGTTATTTATTTATTAAAACTTTACGAAAATTTACGATGGTCACGCGTCGAAAACACGACACTCGTAACGCTTAAACATATTTCGAACTCTCGTTAAAAACGTTCGTGCCTGTATCGTTTACGCGCACCACGTGTTGCGAACTCGCTATTCTTCCTCGTGCTTCAATGAAGTAGACTCGGAACTTGCATTTTCTCGGCTCGGATGATGGGCAGAGGTAGGGATAGCCTTGGTGCGTACGCATCGATCTGAAGTAGGTGTCTGAAAATATACGTGTGAAGCATGTAACGCTTCGAAGATAAAAGAAGATGGTGGAAGAAAAAGTGATTTTGAGAACACGAATTTTAGAATTATTAAAATTGTTCCAATAAATGGAAATTACCTTTAATACGCGAATCGAGCGAGGAGTAAAGGAGAAACCTTCCAAGGTCATTGTTGTATGTCATTGCAACAATAATAATAACAAGGATCCCATAAGGAAACGATTAAAATCGATCGAAGTCGACGAAGCGATTAGACGACAATTCCACAAGATGGATAACTCGAATCCATTCCCTTCGAACAGCTTTTTCGCTGAAATGAAAAAAAAANAAAAAAAAAAAATTAAGAAAACGTCAGGTAAATCAGTTTTCGAGGAACTAACAGCCGAAAACGGGTGAAACGGTAAAGGAAGAAAGGTGGGCTACCTACGAAACGCACCGAGACCGACTTCCGCATTGTCGGTGCAACGAACTCGGAAACTCCTCTTCCGGAATTCGACGAGAGGAGAAAAGGGCCGTGAATAATCGGTCGTCTCACGGCTCCCTCTTTTATACACGGTTTCAAGTAGTACGAGTCTAAATATTGCCGGCCACGATTCCCTACGGTCGACCCACCTGCGGTGCAACACCACCGAAAATATTTTGCCACGTGTGATTCGACGCGGTTCGCTTAGGTCGGTGGCCGGCGACAGGCTGCGCCCAAAACACGTAAACACGGTTGCGAGACCGAGGCTTTGTGTGTCGCGTCACGCGAGATACCCGTTGAAATTTTGATTCTAAACTTTACGCCGTTACAACTTTCGTCCGTTGGACGATGATCAGATTGGAAACTGATCGTTGGAAATCCGTAACGTAACGCAACGGAAAGAGGTGTTTGCCATTGTGATTTTTCACGTTCATGCATTTTGCATGAGGCGCATTTTTTCATTGGAAACACGCAGCGTCACCTGATTGCGGCATTCAAGCCGCGAAGAAAGTCGGCGGTGAACGATGGACCATCTATCGTTACCGGGAGATATCAAAAATTTACGACGCCTAGGAAAGTAGGTTTCGCATACATAAAGGAAACGTGTACGAGGAGTCAAAGTGTGAATTGTGTTTGAGGCACTTGCATACTTACATTGTGCTCCGTGGACGTGAAGGATGTAAAGATTCAATTTGTACGAGGAGGTGAAATAAAACGTGCACGTGTGCGAGCGTGCGAATCTTAACACGGTTGAAAATGCGTCCTAGAAATAATTGCGATCGTTAGAAAAAGATCGTTCTGTCGTACGTGAATTATTCTCGGCTCTTAACAACTCGTTAAGGAGGGAGATTTAAAAAATTAATAAAGAATAATTCTTGAAATTGCAGCAAATCGATGGTTACCTGCGACAGTGGTTAGCTGCGACGTTCTGCGAAGAAACAGGTACACGAGATTTCAGCTACGTTTCGAACGGAAGACCGTAAATAATTCGACAGGTTTCGATGACACTTAAACCCTGCAACGATTGTTAGTAAACACGGCGAAGGAAGGAAAATTCTTAACTTTCGAAAATTGGACAGAAGTTGGACAACGGTACAACGGCGCAGCTGAAAATTTACGGTGGCAAGAAAAACGATTTGCGGCCCCCGATGTGGCCACTGCCATCTCGTTTTAACATTGTGCCTTGCACCTGTATGAATCTCGAGGCCTTGGCCGAGGAAATTATCTCGAACGTGTTTATCACGTCACAAAAAATTGTGAACATATTTTCTTCTACAACTTATACGTTATTCTTTTATCGTTTTTATGATTTGAAACAATTAACTTGTTTAGAGATCATAATATAATGCATACAATAATTTGCAATTAACGTTAATGTTAACATATGTTTCGATGGGACCGCAATTTCGCAAAGCGTGGAAAATCTATCTTGGAGATGTTATCTCGCGAGAGGAGCCGCAAACGACAGACGGCTCTCCTCTGTAAAATTTGACCGTGGTAAATCGGGCGAGAAGCACGGTCTGCGGGTCTAGTGGGCATCCTTTCATTGCTCAACAACAAGCTGTGCACTTGGCCAATTCAATTTTGACCAAACAATTTTACAGACGGACTGTCAGTTACAACAAAGAGTCCCACGGTGTGATGTCGTAAATTTCGCAAAAGCAGCAACCTCCGTACCTTCCTCATCGCTCCAGCTTTTAAGAAAAATTTCCTTGTTCGTCCGGGATAATTATCCTTCAAGGTTGACGACGTTGCGCAATTCTCTCGAGGAAGCTACTGAAACGAATAGATGTGGCCACTGCCATCTCGTTTTAACATTGTGCCTTGCACCTGTATGAATCTCGAGGCCTTGGCCGAGGAAATTATCTCGAACGTGTTTATCACGTCACAAAAAATTGTGAACATATTTTCTTCTACAACTTATACGTTATTCTTTTATCGTTTTTATGATTTGAAACAAATTAACTTGTTTAGAGATCATAATATAATGCATACAATAATTTGCAATTAACGTTAATGTTAACATATGTTTCGATGGGACCGCAATTTCGCAAAGCGTGGAAAATCTATCTTGGAGATGTTATCTCGCGAGAGGAGCCGCAAACGACAGACGGCTCTCCTCTGTAAAATTTGACCGTGGTAAATCGGGCGAGAAGCACGGTCTGCGGGTCTAGTGGGCATCCTTTCATTGCTCAACAACAAGCTGTGCACTTGGCCAATTCAATTTTGACCAAACAATTTTACAGACGGACTGTCAGTTACAACAAAGAGTCCCACGGTGTGATGTCGTAAATTTCGCAAAAGCAGCAACCTCCGTACCTTCCTCATCGCTCCAGCTTTTAAGAAAATTTCCTTGTTCGTCCGGGATAATTATCCTTCAAGGTTGACGACGTTGCGCAATTCTCTCGAGGAAGCTACTGAAACGAATAGAAAAAAAAAAAAAAAAAANAAAAAAAAAAATTACAGTAAATAAATCATATATCACGAATCATACATTATTATCGGGCCTCACGTGTGAAGAACGCGATGCGCGAAATCGATAAAGACGGAAAACGTATAAATAGATCGAGATCTCGAGGAAACGCGGAATAAAAAACCGACACAACGGGCACAAGAAGAAAGCAAAGAAACATGTGCACCGCATACTCCTACGTATTCGAAAGAGGATGAGGCAATCCGCAAGCAAACACGGCGCACCGCGTCTGACGCGTGCGTTTGTTCGTAGGAAGTCGGTAGCCGATTACCAGAAGTCTGCTAATTGGAAAAAGGTGGCTGGATGATGTCTCGATCGGCCTTGCCAAGGACTTGCCTGCCCGTTCTCCGATTAAACGACCGGTAGCACGCGTACGAGCCTCCAACCTATATGTACACGCATGCGCATACCTGTACGGCATCACACGTACGATTTCACGAACGCACAACCTCGTTTGCAGGCGTCCATTACGTACATGTGCGCGCGCATAAACGTGTAGAAAAGAACGGGGAGAAGAAGACGGGGCCGAGGACCGAGTGAAACTTCTGCTCGTGGATCCTACCACAATCGCTCGATGACTAGAGATAGGCGTTAAGTGTGACACACACGCGTGACCAAAAGGCGTACGTGATAGCGTACAGGTGTGCAAGGAACCTGTAGAGGAACAGGTAGAGATGGCAAACCTGGGTGGGCGCGTGTACACCACTTCGAGCCACGTCGATACGGATGTTACGCGCACACGAAGCCACGAGAAAACTTTACTCGCGTTGCCGTTACACGCTCGTGGCCATTGGTGAGCCTGCGCGGTTGTTACATAAATATGCGCGAGCCGTATCGCTTCCTTTTTTAACAATCCGTTTCGTAATTGTTTATCACGCCGAGACGAGCGCCGGCATGATCGCTGGTGAACGGCGAACTCGTTGTGTTTCGAGGCTGACGCCCCACAATACAGAATTTGACGGGCGCGCGTGTCGCGTGTTACGTATATATATATATATATATATATATATATATTATACATATAGAAGAAACAGCAGCGTTTCGCAAATGCAGATCTTGGATTTAATATTTCCTGTTAATAACGTAGGTTAAGTTTTTTTTTTTTTTATTGAAAGAAAGGATATCTAATAAACGTGTTAAGTAATTCAATATGATATTTATGATCGAAAATTTTAAATGTACGATAATAATTGGAAAATACGATATTTCAAAAGATATGCTAAAAAATAATCTACGACAAGTACAGAGTAAAAGAGAAATAATCGTTTCAAGTAAAAGTAAGCCATTCTACGATTATTCGTCACTAGGCTCAAATAAGAAAAGTAAAGAAAATGGACAAATAGGTTCCGCATGAGTTAAGCGATACACAGAAAGTTAGATGGATGGAAATAATAACCACCTGTTGTTTTACCTGTCGGGAAGAAACAGTCGGGATCCATTTTTAAGACGTATCGTTATTTATAAAGAAAAGTGAATCTGAACAAACGAACATTAAAAAGTATAATTACGTAAATCGCTTTTTATTAAACCGTATTTTATTATCAATTTTCCATCGTTCGGAAAGAATATTGAAAACCATACCGAAAAAGATTCTCTTCTTCGAATTCAACATCGTTATTGTGACGTCACCAACCTCTTTCCCTTACCTTTCTTTCTCTGGCTCCAACGTTAATTCAGGTTCGACACGTGAACACGAACGATAAAATTAGCCACGACGGATCGCGTACACGGAATTCGAAGGGGGCGAATTCGAAGCTCACGTGGGGCCATCCTCGCGGTTGTTACGTTGAGGAAGTCACGCGGCCCTCGAGGCCTCAAAAAGAATGAGGACATTCCGTGGGCCTCTCCTCCCCCTCCGTACAAACCAGGTTCCGGATTCGGGTATATCAGAATCGACGAGGGAGGGAGAAATTTGGGCAACGATCAAACTCTCCTTGATCGTGTCATCCCAATTCTCGAAGACTGTAGGTAACTAGGTAAAGGTTCCGTGTTTATCTATTGCCCTAGCTCCGAAATGTGACCCAGTTCAGTTCGCCGGACAGAACGAAAAAAAAAAAAAAAAAAACAAAGAAAAGAAAAAAGAAAAAGGCCAATTGACGGCTAGGTTGATTCTGGTATGCGCGGTCGGTCGTAAAAATAACCCCGGCTATGGCGCGTTTTGCCTCTCGTTAAAGTTTTTTTTTATCAAGAACCGCCGGCAAAAAAATGTTCTAAATTCCATGATAAAAGAAGGAGATTACCGAGTTTACTTACTATTCTTTATTAATTATAATCCTAACTGGAAGTAGAACGAGCAGTGTTGCAGAGAAAAAATCGACCGGCTGAATTAACCGGGATAAACTTTGTAGTTTATCACGATGGAAGACAAACCGTTTGAAAGTGATATAAATACATCTTTTTGACGAGTACATATGATGCGATACATGCTGATATTTTCTGAATCTCTCCATCACTTTTCAAAATCAAACAAGTGTGTTCCAATATTTTTAAACGACAGTGTGGAATTGTCTCTGTAATAAAAAGAATTTTAATAGATACATCATCCAATGGCATTATCCATGTGTATTTAAAAATTGATAATAAATAGAACGATATATATCTTTTCTCTTCTTCTCGAGGCAGTGTCATGTACGATTATGCTCGGTCCCGTGATTTATCAAAGGCTTTCAAACGAGGCTTTTGTTCTCCAGGTTGGTCAATTGGAGCACAAAGTCAAGACCTAGTCTGAAAATAAAAATACGAAGAGGTTAGAAGAGAAGAGGAAGAAGAAAACAATAGAGAAGTGAGTGGGAAGAAGAATTGTTTCCAGTTTGTCTGGTATCGGAAACCAAGAGTGGGTCGCAGCAGTGATAACGAACTGCTCACGATTTTAACGTAGCCGGTTGTTCATTTTCTCCTTTCATCCCGTTGCTTCCTGCCGCTATCCATCGTGACGATTCTCGTCGTGTATTCATGACGATGATGGCAAAAAGTCGAGCGAATCGGCTACCTCTTTTTCGTTGCCCCGCTCTCCGCCTCCGTGCAGGATTTCAGCCTTGCTCTTCCAGTTTTGTCCTGTTTACCAAGTGGGACAATTGAGATGGAGAGTAAAACGCGGGAGTAAAGTAGTTGCGGATTACACGCGGCAACCATTTTCTGTGGATACAGTTATACACGGATACCTGTCATTCTTTTCACGGATAAATTTATTTTTACACGATCTAAATTCGTGGATTCGCCACAATTAAATGTTCTCTTTTCTCTGTAACAAATTATTTAAACAAATTATTTAAACAACTTCTTAAACTAATAGAGTTTAGCTTCTAATTTGAAATATCAATATCTAGTATTTTTTATACATTCCTATGAAGATTTAAGCGTGTTTGCTCTTTAAAAGTAAATAGCACAATGATAAAGTAACAACGATTCGCGAAAGTGAAAACAAAAATAAAATTCAAAAAAAAAGGAAAAAAAATAAGCGCGTGAAATGTACAACGCGGATACATCTACGTTGAGAATGTCGCAGGATACGAATCTAATCTTCATCAAAGATTAGCTGGAAACGCAACTTTTTAATAGCCAGACATAAGTAAAATGAAACCGTAAGTAAAACAATCGTATCATACATCCGGCAACGTTACTCTTTTTTAACAAATCCAATTTTTTAATCATAAACATACGAAATATTGTCAGTAATATTAATTAAAATTACCGCCCTCGTTGCCCGACACGCAGTTACTTTCGGTAGTTCACGGTGGTGCAGGCTCGGATGAAAAATTCACGAACCAGCATCAGGATTGCAATCAGGTCCGCAAATAAATCTTCCAAGGACGACGTACACAAGCGTGTTTCGAGAGGCGGAAACGCGGTGTGTACGGGCATTAAAGCATAGCGACAACGGGAGAACGATGTATACAGCAGCATAGTATAACATAGGTAAGTATGTTTGTGGGTCAGTGGCACGAGAGCTGCCCGCTGCCACCGCCGCCGCCACCGCCACCACAATGAGCCGAGTACCGTCGCATGGTAAAATCGTGTATACCTACCACATACATTATACAGATCGTGAACTGCCATTGTTCTTGAACTTGTACGCACACGCACCAACAGTTTATGCGTTGGCTAGTTGTACACCACCAAACGTATTCCACGTTACGTATACACATACGCTATGACCACGGAGAAAACCGCAGGGCGATCATTGATAAAGAGAAATTGGCCCTATTGCAACTTGCCGCTGGCTTCTTTTCATGTACGTCACTTCTCTTGATCGATCGCTATATTGTTGCTAATGATTTACACCGCGCTTCCACGATCCTATCCTCGATCGTTCTTGAATGAATCGGTATGGGAATAGAAAGAATTAGATACACTTAGTTACTGTTTCACTATGTCAGATTTCTAGAACTAGAGGCTTATATAAATGTAAATAAATTATAAATAAATACTTGCCACCATATTGTAATATCGATAAATTCACGCTAGGAATGAAAAAGAAAGAAAAAAAAAAAGACAACGACGATTCGAGAACGATCGATCGTGACTAATCGGTGTCCAATTCCTCGGTAGCGTAGGTAAGTAGGTATCCTCGAGGTTCTCAACAAAACTTTTTCTCTGTGGTTGAAATTTTTGCTCGGATTTTACATAATACCATTTCCATGCAGCTTACATTGCGCCATGGCCCTGTATAAAATATTATCTCTCTCTATCCATATTTATCTCGTGTTTATGTTATATTTATAAATAAAAAAACATACGTACAGATGTCGTGAAACCTCGTCATGACTTGTTACATTCTTTAATTCATTTTTTATCGCAATCGAGTGCTTCTTTCAGTGAAAAATTTCTTAATTTAAGAAAAATATCATTATGTGTATATTATATGTGATTTCTCAATAGCATTTCGAAAATTTCTGGTCACTGAAATATTGCGGATAAATGATTTTTAGAAAGTTTTTCGTCTTGTCCAACATGAAAAAAATTACGATAAAATAGCAGGATTAATTTTGAATATAAAAATTAATATAAAGATTGTAAAGCTATAAAATAAATATAATTATAAATATAGTGCACGCTCGTTTCAGAAATAATTATTCAAGTAGTTGTTCACGAAACGTATAGAAAGATGTTTCATAATAATTGGACTGTTCACCGGCAATATCATTACACGGTATGTATGTACTTACATTCGTGAGTTCGTTGCACTGGTTGCCATTGCAACATTTTATAATTACATCGTAGCTATGCCATCGTTACCATTTTGCAAATATACTGCGTAAAAATAAACAATATCATTGGAATACATTCGATACACTGTGACTGCTGTAAAATTAATCAATTGCTGATTTATATAAATACGATCATTTTTCTCGTTATGAACCGAAGCGAAACAATGAACGAGTCCTTCGATGCCTTAACAACGTCCTATTTTGCAAGGATATATTATCAAGGATATGTTATAAATTTAAAAAAAGAATAGAATAATAAAAAGAGAATAAACAAGAACATTCGTTTTAATTCATTATTTCATTCTTCGTTAAACTAAGGATATTTATGTAGATATTGCTTGAACAAAAAATTTTTTTTAAATATCAATTAAAATATTAATATCACAATCACAATATTACATATACATTACAAGTTTTATTTAAAGAAAAGTCTACTTACTATCCATAAAAGAACATTCGAATTGTCATATTATGCTAATAACTGTCATTAACTGACATGACTTACTATTATCCCTAGCAGATAAGAAGGATCTTGACATTACAGCTGGATAAACTTATAGACATTAATTAAATGAGAAAGGACGAAGCAAGAGGACAAGAGAAAGAGAATTTTTTCGGACAAGTTGCGCCACAATTATACAGTTAAACGTTAGGTTAACGGTCGTGCTTAGAATTTCGGATATTTCGAGACAGCAAATAAGTACACATACACATTAGATTTACACCTTGACATTCGACCCACTCATTGAGAAAATTATGTCAAACTCGCACGTTATTCGTCACTTCCTCGATTTAAATAGAATGAAGGTCGGTTAGTAGGGTACGAAGGAGGTTAGAAATAAAAATAATGACGATTATCGTACATGAAACATTTTGTCCTATCTCTTTCTTATTTCTTTTAATTTTATGATAGACACGGGCAATTCACTAAATGACATGAGTTTTTTTCTCGACATGGGAAGTATATTTATGGTCATGCATGTCGTTTATTTAGGACTCACTTTTACTCGGATACGAAACACGAGGCTTGAAAACGAGAACACTAATGACCACATAAAGATTCCGTTGAGAAAAAAGCCCTCTACCGGTTGCATGTTATTGAAACTTATTTAAAATAATAATTTTAAAATAAATATTGAATACTTAGTGATTATAAATATTTATTCTTTTTTCAATTAATTATTTGAAATGATATATATTATAATAATTAATAATTAATTAAAATAAATTCTAATAATATGTTAATATTTAATAAAAATATAAATATATACACAGGAAAACAAAAAAATAGACATCGAAAGAAGCAAAATAGAAGAAAAATACTCATTATTAATGTTCTGCTTTTTATAAAGACTTGAAAGTTTAACAATGTACGATCAAAAATAAATTAAAACGCTACGCGATATGATACGTGCCATGTTAATTACAATATCATGGTAAATATATTATAACCTAACTAATCGTGACTCACAGTTGAAGGAAAAAAAAAAAAAACATGAAACGTGATATGATCGCGATTACATATTTGAAAATTATTATTATTTAGTATTTTATTTTTATTTTGACATTCTATTTCAATTTAAATGAAATAATAATGTCGAAATAGTTCATTGAGCCTCATTTCAGCGAATCGAAAAATTGGATAAATTAACTATTGAAGCATGGGAGATAGTAACGATGTCACGATTTCGCACGATCTCCTTTTTTTCTTTCTTTCGTTTTAGAATGGTCATAGAAAAAGAGTGCGTGGCCAGTGGTGTGTGCCGAAGCATAACACGTTGTACTCCGTGGTGGCATTACTACTTCGTTACGCTCGTGTATTTTTCCGAAACTTTATTCTTGTGCGAGCGTTGGCAAGGAAGGTCCGTCAAGCGTAGAAAAATTAACGACGTCGTATCCGCGTAATTAATTAACGTACCGAATAAATTCGTATGAGGGACGTTATCCAATCTAACCTATAAAAATATTATGACGAATGCACTCTAAATAAATTTGCAAAATATTCAATACGGCCTTTTCTTTTTTTAAAACAAGTTAAAATTTTATGAAATCTTAGACAATATATTTCAAAAGATTGAGAAAAAAATTTAATACAAATTCCGTATGTTAAAAAAAGAAGCTATATAAATTCACTACTTACAGATATTTATGTCTATAAAGAAGAAAAATGTGCACGTAAGAATGTCTCAAATTATTTAGATTCTTTTTATATAAAACATATTAAATAGAATTTTTATTTTTTTCTATACATATTCTTTAACTTTCACTATTATATCATGGAAATTGACAAAGTTATTCGAAATTTTATTTTGATTGATATCGATTGGTTAATCGTCGACCTGATTGAATCCTTTTCGATTCGATTAATCGAATGATCGAAATTTTATATCTAAAATCTACGTACTTGTACAATGAAAAACAATTTTTTTAATATAAGTATCACAAAATTTTTATGCTTGAAATAATTGACAAATTTATCAATTAAATCGTATAGTTGCAAAAGAATTAACAATTACTTCGAAGAAACTAATTCTATTGCAAAACAAAGATCGAGGTAGACGCAGAAAAGACACGTCGAAGAAATAAACAGAGTTGAAATGCTATCAATTGTTTCTTTGAATTCGTTCGAAATATACTGTACTACGTAACTTTAGATGTTTGTGTAATTCAGTTTTTGGCCGCAAAATTGTTAAGCATAATACAATAGCAGTAAACATTGTCGGACTAGCCAGGTAAACGGACCACGAGACTACCGTGCACCTGAATTTCGTAACCGAATCTAATTTAAAGACATTTTTCACGGAAGTTTGGTGGTGTGCATGCTTTAAAATGCTTGCAATTCTTCACTTTTAGAAACTTGATAAAATATTTTTTCGAAAATAAGTATTTCAACAATAATGTCGAAACAAAAAAGGAAATTGAAAAATCAAATCATTTTATCGTTAAAATTTTTTTTAATATTATTTTTTTAAACTCTAAGAAATAATTATGAAAACATTTTTAGATTTCATAATTTATTAAAATCAATCCGATCTCTAGTAAATGACAATAAAATATAATTACGTCCAAAATAATTTTTAGAACGCACGGAATCTACTCGCATATCTTGAACGTACGGAATTCTCCACTTTGTAAAAATGTTTCGCTCTGAATCTCGCTTACGTGAAAGATAAAAGACGACATGATTTTACTTTTTAACATAGAACACGTATTATATTTACAGTACGCTTTACCTTCATGATAGATACCCCAGAATAATCTAGGTTAGTATGTCAGCGATTCATGGGGTGCGAGATCTTGGAAAGAAAAAAGAACGCATGTATCGTCTCCGAAGACCGAAGAGATTCTCTGATCTCCTCCCACCTTCTGATTCAACTATACCGGGACTCATCACAGTCCGTAAACTGACCTAACAGAGCCAACTCGACGATTCGTCTAGACAGAATAATGAATCCTCTTCACTTTTATCTACTATTTTTATATACTATAAAACACATTGAAAAGCGCAAACCATCTGGCCACAAGTTTCTAAAACGTATGCATGCCTCGTGTCATAACTAAGATATATAAGTACATAGTTATTCGTAAACTAACAAAATAAATATTTTTATTCCGATAATTTATAGAATTTTTATCCACATCGAGTTATGGAATTAAGAAGAAATTATGAATTTGCAAAATTCTTTGACGCTCGCATTGAAAAAACTTATATATTGTTTTTAATTTAAAATAGTAGATAATTTATTTCTATGTAAAAAAGTTTAAAAACAATTAATATATTTTAGAATTTTTTTATGATTTAAATTTCATTGTATATATATTTGTGAAAAGGACTAATCATATTTGATTTCAAATATTTGATTACATATAATTGTAAAAGATAATTTTTTGCTTTTATTCAATATTAGATAAATAAAATAATATTCTAATTTTATTTTTAATCTTACTTAACTATTAATAAATAATATTAATAATAAGAAAATCATATTATTTAAAAAATATATATTCATATATATTATATAATGCCAATATTTATTAAATACACATTGCATTAATAAGTTTATTCGAATTTCTGATATCATTTTTATTATTATCCTAATTCTATACTTTAGTTCGTTGTTTTGCTTTCTCTTTCGGGAGTGGCATGCTCTAGTTCACCTGGCCACGAAACCGTCCATCCATCAGTCCTCTGGCTTGTATTCCATGACTTCGATTTTATACAATTCAGATACAAAGTATATTAAATTAAATCGGCGAGAAGCGAAGTGGATCATTATATGAATCAAACAAGAAAAACAAATATATTTTATTATTTTTATCACAGTGAATATGTACAATTATATATATATATAATTTAAAAATATATATTATTATGTAAATCGTTATAAATATATTACAGATAAACTTTGTATATATTGTATAACAATACATAAAATATATATCAAAAATAATATTTCATTTCAGATTTCAACAATTGTAATTGTATATACATATTTTATCAAGAAATAAATATTTTTTATTTTAATTATTATCTATTGTATTATCTATTGTATATTATATAAAATTTTTTTTATCTATGTGCATAATAATATGCAATATCTTATTTATTATTTTATTGCATATTATATACATTTATACTATATATTATTATTATTAATTTATTGTGTGTAAATTATTTAAAATTAAATTTTAAATAAGATTTTTAAATTTTAAATAATTATAATATAATTAAAAATTATTATTAATTAAGAAAAAAAAAGAAGATAATAAATAAAATAGATTTATAATTTTCATATCTAAATACATAACAATAGATTTCAACAAATATTTAACTTAATACATATTAACTATTATATGTTTAAAACTATTGGATTATAGAGATTCAACAAATCAACCTCAGTCTTAACCAAAAAATGATTTTCTATAAAATATATATATATATATAATATAATTAAAAAAAAATATAAATTATACATATAAATCAAACAATATCCCATTCTGATATGAAAAATTTAAGAATAATATTTTTTAATTTCTGCAAGTAAACATTTTTCGTTTGATTCATTAATTTCTACGAATTTT